TCTAGCTATCTTCCTTCCTCAATTTGCTTGAATTGTCAGCTACATATACACACATGTACATGTAGATTCATTTAAAATCATTTAAAGGCTCATTTCGTGAAAGGCTAAAGACCAATTCTTGAGTCTTTCTCTGAGATCCACAGAGTGGTTTTAGAATTCAGTTCAAGCAACTCTGAAACACCCACCCATCTGTTCACTGCAAACTGTTCTACCTTTCCTTTCTGTGGCTTGCCTTCTAAAATAAGGAGATCTGAAGACACATTACCAGGTTATAGGTAAGCAAGCTTTGCATCTTTACCAAAAAAAAAAAAAAAAATCTGCAAGTTTAACCCAAAATCAACTGCCCGATTTAAAGAAAACTCTATTTGTATCCAGTAGTTCCAATTCCAATATCTGCTTCTTAAGTGGCTCTAGAAGGAGTGAGCAATGAGCCAGGAAAAGAGAAAAGAAATCAAATATTACTTAAAGCTCTGGGTGCCCTTCTATTCAGCAAAAGGACAAACATCGACCCTTCTTCCCTCTACTGTTCTGGGAGTCTCTCTTCTGGTTTCCTTCCCTTGGTACCCCCACCTCTGTGGGACAGAATAGGCTATTCCGAATTGTGATACAGAACAAGGAGCAGAAGTAAGACCAACTTTTCCCAAAGCGTAATAGAGGTGCAGTCCCACTGCTGAAAGTTGAACTGAGTTGGTTTTCTTCTAAGATGACAGGGAGCATCTCGTCAGGCCGGCTGCCACTGGCTTTCCTGGGACTTTAGAAGGAGGGAGGTGGCTAGTGTATCACCCGTGTTGACAGATTCAGTCTCAACCACTCCAGCCAAGAGCAAGGCTGGCAGGAAGAGAGAGGGGCCCCACCGCCTTCTAGTGCAGGCCTTCAGGAAATGAACATTTCAGAGCAGAATTGCGCTGCGGCCAGAGGTCATCAAGGGAGTTGGGAGAGGACAAGGGCCTCAGGACTTTAAGGCTCCAGAGGCATATAGCCACTCTCATCCTGTTCCTCAGTCATCCCTCAGTGTGTCCAGGCGGCTAAGCACCCATCTGAGGGGCTGGAATTGGGACAAAGCAGCAGGCCAGGCCAGGAGAGGGCGGCCTGTTAGGGGAAAAGGGCAGGGGAGGGGCTCAGCCCTCGCACTGCCTCTCCCCAGGGCCTCTGCTCTCCAGGGGCCCCTGGAGCTGGGGACATCCTGTAAATAGAAAGCAAAGCAAGGAGAAGGAGTGCCTGCGAGTGCTGTGCATGTGCGTACCTATACATCCATATCTCATCAAAAACATGCACACCCTGGGGACTCGGTGCAGGAAGCTGGCCAGGGTGTGGAAGGTGAGTGTGCCAGGGGTGGGGTACCCGGCACACTGCATGGAGAGGTGCTCCTGACTGCTGCAGCGCTCCCTGAGGACCTGCGTCCCCTTGGCCTAGACAATGAACTCCTGGCAGAGGCTCCCTGCCAGGTTGGCCTGTGTGCAGCAGGCAGGAAGTGCACAGCTGAGCAGGGAGCAAGGTCTGGGCTGGGGGGCCAGGGGCGCTGGGGCAGAGGGGGCGCCGGGTGGCCTGGGACCATACTGCCGTGCCTGAAGCAGGCTCCCTCTGCTCTCCACATCCCTGGGCAACAAGGAGGGGGCTGGAGAAAGCCAGTGAGGCCTGGGGCCAGCAAGGGCGGCCTGGAAGCTGCCAGCCTCCTGGGCGCCCGTCCTCGCCGCCTCTTCCTTCCTTTCGCTACCACCAATTCGCAATCCCCGCCAAGTCGGCCGGCACCCCTTGATTGGCCACGGGGGCCTGGGGCCCACAAGGAGGGAGCGACCAGGGCTCCTTGTAGGCGACCCCAGGCCCGGGTCCCCGGCTAGAGGTGGCTCCAGGCCCGGAGAGGGTCCAGGCCAGTAGGGTGTCCATGGCGTGCCCCCTCCACCACCTCCGCCTCCCGCTCCTGGCTTCCTCTTCCCCCTCTTCTTCCTCCTCCTCATCCTCTCCCCTCGCTCCCGCGGGTCCACAGCTGCCCACCCGCTCGCCAGTCCTTCCTCCCTCTCTCCTTCCCTCCCGCCTCCTCGGGGCCTCCCACACTCACCTTTCCCTGAGCGCGGCTTCCCCTGCTTCTGCCTGGGCTTGTCCCGGACTCCTGGAGCTCCGTCGCCCTCCGCGGCCGGGGCCCCCAGCCGCCCTTCCCCGCTCTGGGTAGCCCTCCTCCCCCTTCTCCGCCTGCCTCTTGGAAACTTTTTTTGCAGCCGGGTTGGTGGCTGCGGACCGCCGGTCAGGGGCGGCCTCTCTGGGGGGAGGTGGGGGGGCAGCCCAGGCCGCTGGGGGGGAGGGGGAGGCCCGGGGCGCGCCGGGGCCCTGCCTGTTGGAATGCAGAAGCCATGGGCTCCCGGTCCCAGCGGCGGTCCCTGCGGCGAGTGGCCGAGTCCAGTTATGCAAAAAAAAAAAAAAAAGCCCCCCCCTCGTAGCCCCTCCTCCCTACCCCCAGCCGGTCCCCGGCCCCTAGGGCCCCTCCTCTCTCCCCCACCCCCCACCACCCTCACCCTCCTCCTCCTTCTCCTTCTCCTCCCCCTCTGCCCCTTGCCGGATTTTTGTGCAAAGTTTGCAGGCTTCCTGCAACGCAGGAGCTCACAATGAACCCCTCTGAGGAGTGGGAACGGAACTGGAGTCCAGAGGGTCTCAGGAGGGGAGGAGACCGGGAGGTGGTCGGGAGCTCGGGAGCTCAGTACCCGCAGGGGAAAAAAAAATGCTTCAAATATCCCCTGCTGCGCACACACACAAAATAAATAAATATTAATGGCTCAAAAAAATGCCCAAACGCCAGGTTTGGAGATTATGATGGATGGCGAGGGGGTACCTCAACTCAGCTTACTTGGGGGTGGGGGCTCAAAACTGCTGTAGTGGCTGGAAGCCCCGGCTTGGAGCCCCTGGCTCAGCCCCCTTCTCTGGCTCAGTCTGGCGCCGGCCCCCCAGAGGAGGAAGTGGCGCTCGGGGGGCGCTCAGGCGGCAGCGGGCAGGCGCACCCATGCACCAGGCATCGCTCAGCCCAGGCGCCGGGGGCCGCGGCTGCCTGCCCTTGGGCTGCGGTGCTCTGCGAGAGGTGTGCAGCCTAACCCCAGGCGGTGCCAAGTCGCCGGCCTGCTAGCTGCCTCCGTGGGCCAGGGGCTCGGAGAGGGGGGAGGCGGCGGCCGCGGTGGCAGAGGAGGAGGAAGAGCAGGCGGCAGCGGTGGAGGCAGCAGCGGCTCCGCCCCTGCTCCTCTGCTCTCCAGCCACAGCCAATGCCGTCCTGCCCGCCAGCCTCCCTGCGCTCCTGTCTTCTTTGTGGTCGCTGGCTCTCCTCCTCCCAATCCGGCTGCTGGGGCTGCACTGCAGAGACACATAATAAAGCCAGGCTTGGCTGGAAATGTAGCCAGGTCCCAGCAGGAGGATGGGAGGAGCTGAGTCCCGGTAGGGGAGCTCTGATCCCGTGGGGCGCCCCCCACTGCTCCAGCTCGGATCAGACGGTGAGAGGGCCAACAGCGCTGGAAATACAGCTCTGGCTGCCCGCAAAACCCAGACCACGGAGGCAGGCACCGCACTGGCTCGAAGGGCCTGGGCTCTGGCTGCACGGGGGCGGGAGGAGGGAACAGAAGGCCCACGCGGGCTGTCAGGCTCACCCAGATGCATTAGCATTACAAACTGCAAATATTGAAAGAATAGGGGAGCAAACAGGTTAGCTATTCTAGCATTGCTTCTTGTGCGCTACGCACTAGAATTATCCTCAGACCTAGCTGTTCCCTCTCAATTGACTTTTGACTATGGGTTGGTGTTCCAAGACCACTCTTACCCCACATCCAACAAACGCTTACACCACTGGGCTAGCCTATACCCTCATTTGTAGGGTTCTTGAACCTGGTGCGCACTTCCAGGCTGTGACTCTAACACCTTATCTCAGGAAAACTGCAGTAGCACCCCTTCCCTCCGAGGTTGGCAAAAATAAACCAGTTGCTACTTTCCACAAAGTTTTGCCAGGGGGCGCCTCAAGTCCCTGTAGTTCTTGAACTAGTTGAGGCTCAGATCTCCTAGCAGGTCCTGGGGTCCTGGAAGGGCACATGCTTAAGGAAAGTCTTCCCTGGGCGGCTCCCCTAAGCCTTTACTTTGAAGCGTCCACCACCCCCGCCAGCTGCAGGCTTCCAGGTCCCGAGTAGGGGAGAGGCCCCCACATCTCCCCCTCCCAGGCAAGTGGCGCCACCTTGGGCCTGCGTGCCTTGAGCCTGGAGAGCTGAGCGGGTGCACGGAGCAGAGCTGGAGGTTATCAATCTCGGGGATGGATATGTTGCCACTTGGAGAGGGGAGGGCTGTGTCCCCTCAGAGTCGAGTTACCCAGGGCAACCTTTCACGGAAAAACCCGCTGCCTCTGAGAGCAGCGCTGGACCAGCCCAGAAGCAGCGCTGCCCCAAGCAGGGTGCCGGCACCCCGTGGTTCCGCCTGCCCGCGGCCCCCTCAGCTAGCTTCTGCAGTCCCAAAGGGCCCTGCTCGCCAACCCCGTGCTGGTCTGATTGCTGAGGTAGATGCCACCCCGCACCCCTGCTGCTAGGGAGAGCAGGACTGCGGATGCGGAGAAAGGCCTTAGGCAGGGGGCCCTGCGCATGCGCCCAAGGCCATCTCCGAGGTACAGTGGGGTGACAGGAGAAATGCAATGCCCAGGCAAACACACCAACAGCAGAGACCGAGCATGAGGATACCCGGACAGGCCTTAGCCTGTCATCTACTAAGTAAGACCTAGACCCCGAGGTCCTCCCCTTCTCTGGAATAGGGTTGCCACTCTCAGCCACCGCCCTCCCCAGGTCGTGAGTCCGAGAATGTCCAACATTTCCAAGGATCCACCTCCTGCAGCCAGGGATGGCCAGGGTTAGACTGAAGAGTGCCAAGGGCCCAGGCGAGGGCAGAGTTTGCTAGGCGACTGGGAAAGAGCCAGGAAGGAGGGGCCGAACCAGCCTCCCCCCCACCCCCACTGGCGCCTGGGATCGAGGCCCATGGAGAGAGGGCCAGCCCTTGCTCTCCGGGCAGGGAGGGGGTGTGTGGAAACTGCTTGCAGATCATACCCATCCAGGAGAGAGGTGGCAAACAAAAGGAGCGAGGTGGGGATGGGTTGCGTTGGATGAAAGGAGGGGGTCATCTGGCGGGAAGGGGCGCCAGTGCCTCTGCCCTTTCTCTGACCTAAGGGAACTGCGGGAGGCTCAGAGGCCAGAGGTGGAGGTAACAGAATGGACTGGGCGGGGCGCGGGGGAAATTGGGAGGGTGGGGGGGTGGCAGGGATGACCAAACACCTTTTGTAACTAATCCTCAAGGATGAGGGTCCTGGAGCAGCACACATTTTTTCTTTTTTTTGGATGAGTTGCCCGCACTGCTCTGAAGCATGTTTGCGACTAGACCCTCACCCCGCCCCCACCCCAGACCTCGCTATTGTGCCCCTGTCAGCTACAGTCAGGGTGCACCAGGGTGCTGAGGGAGCTCGACCTCCTCCTGCCTCGTTTCTCCTGTTTCCTCTAAAGCTTGTTTCATTTTAAACTCCTTCCAGAAAAATGTTGTTATAAGGAAAATCTCAGAGCTGCAAAAAACCAGTACTATCCCTCTTACTACCCTAGCCCTGTTGAGCTCGGATTCATACCTGAAGGGTCTCAAGGGACATTTGTTGAAGCCTGGGCCTTACTTCTCACCAATCTGGTGACTCTGTACCAGAAAGTCATTTTCAGGTGATGTATTTTACAGCATCTGCCTACCTCCAGCAGGGAATCCAGGGTTTAGGGCCCCTCCCTTGTCAAAAAGTTCCCTTTGGCCCAAGATGCATGCCTGTTATTCCAGCAACTGAGGAGGCAAGAAGATCTCAAGTTTGAGGCCAGCCTGTGCAATCTATCAAGGCCCTATCTCAAAAATTAAAAAAAAAAATGAAAAAGACTATATATGTAGCTTGGTGGTAGAGTGCTCCTGGGTTCAATCCACAATGCTAATAATAATAATAATAATAATAATAATAATAATAATAATAATAGAAACAATAACTTTTTTGGTACTGGAGATTGAACCCAGGGGCACTCTACCACTGAGCCATATCTCCAGCCCTATTTTATATTTTCTTTAGAGACAGGGTCTCACTGAGTTGCTTAGTGCCTTGCTTTTGCTGAAGCTGGCTTTGAACTTGTGATCCTCTTGCCTCAGCCTCCTGAGCTGCTAAGATTACAGGTCTGCTAGGATTACAAGTCTGGGCCACCGCACATGGCAATTATAACACTTAAAAGGCATTTTCTGACCTCAATTTCATCTGCTTTAGGTGGATCAAGATTTAGAGGAGGCAAATTCTGCCCTGCTCAGAGAAGTGGTTGGGAAACCCAGAGTAAACTGTAAGAAACCAACATCATAAATGCAAGAAAGATTACAAGTTGATGATTTTGAAAACAAAGAAGACTTGCTCACATAAATAGGCATTTTCCCTCAGTCGTCATGTGGATGGAGGAGGGGAAGCCAAAGAGCTGCCATTCTCCCAAATGATGCATCTTGAGAATGTGTCTCTGAACATGGAGCAAGTGAGGCTGCTGCTCTGAATTTCCAAGACGAGGCAAGTGTATCATCCAGAGCGATCTGGTGAATGCAAGAGTCCAGTCAGCAACAAAAACAAACCTGTAAAACTGTAGAGCCCGGCGCAGGGGCACACATCTGTAATCCCAGTGGCTCAGGAGGCGGAGGCAAGAGGATTGCAAGTTCAAAGTCAGCCTCAGCAAAAGCAAGGTGCTAAGCTACTCAGTGAGACCCTGACTCTAAATAAAATACAAAATAAAGCTGGAGATGTGACACAGTGGTTGAGTGCCCCTGAGTTCAATCCCTGGTATCCACCCCCCACCCCCAACAAAATCCTATGTTAGAGTTCCTTTTGAGGCCTCTAAATTAGATCCTGAAGAGTTCCCAGAGTCTTTTACAAGAATCTTTGAAAGCCAGGCACAGTGGCACATGCCTGTAATCCCAGTTATCAGGGTAGCTGAGACAAAAGGGGCATAAATTCAAGACCAGCCTGGGCAACTTAGGGACATACTGTCTCAAAATAAAACACAAAGGCTAGGAATGGAGCTCAGTGAAAGAGCATCTTTGGATTCAAGTCCCAATTACCGGTTTAAAAAAAAAAAAGATGCTTTGCAGTAAGTGATCCAGTGACCACCTTCTCCCCTAAATATTTCTACTTGTATGTGCACACACACACATGCACACTTACCCTAAATGACACCTGTCACTTCTATATATGCAATCTAAATTTTGCAACTTTTGCTTGCTGGTTAATTACTTGAAAGTCTCACTCTCTGTGGGGAGAACTTGCATCAGCCCCTGAGAATCAGTCATTATGGGGAGGAAGATTTATAACTTCCTTGGTTCACTTGTTTATTCAACATTTATTTATTGATTGTGTGCCTACTGTGTGCCAAGACTGAGGGTACAACAATGCAGAAGGATTACAACTCTTCCCTGCTGGGGCTTGTTTGCTAGGGTGATGAAAAAGCCTTTTTTTTTTTGAGGATTTTGTTGGGGGGATGGATACCAGGAGTTAAACTCAGGGGCTCTCCACCACTGAGCCACATCCCCAGCCCTGTTTTGTATTTCATTTAGAGACAAGGTCCCACTGAGTCACTTAGTGCCTCACTTTTGCTGAGGCTGGATTTGAACTTGCAATCCTCCTGCCTCAGCCTCCCTAGCCGCTGGGATTACAGGTATGTGCCATCGCACCCAACTAAGACTAACTATTTTTTAAAAATACACATTTTTTAGTTGTAGTTGAGCACAATACATTTATTTTATTTATTTATTTTTATGTGGTTCTGAGGATCAAACCCAGGGCTTCACACATGTTAGTCAGGCATTCTATCACTACAATGCCAACCCCTAAAGGGGGGGGGGTTGTGGCTTAGCGGTATTAAAAGTTAGCCCTAAGGCTAACTTTCAATAGGAGATTATGAGAATAATGGTTTAAACAGTTTTGAACAAATCCTGAGAAGAAAAAATTACAAATGAAGCCAGAAAAATAAGGGTCAAAAGTGGTTTGGCTAACATGCTGAGGGAAGAGAAGGAAGGAGTCAAGGAAAAGGATAGAATGTACAGTATGTGCAAAGGGCCTGAGGTGAGAGGAAGCTGGTTGTTTGCAGTGAAAAGTTGTCACAGCTCCCGCAAAGAACTAAAGGAGGCATTATAACCAATCCCATCCCCTTTCCAATCCATCTTCCTCATTGCCTCACTGGAGAACCTCAAGCAAAGGGCTATCTGTGTTTATAGTTTCTCATCTGCAAAATGAGAGTATTGATAGCACAGATCTCATGAGATTGTCCTCAGAATTTTATGTCAGTAAGCACTGCCTGTCTGGCCTAGAAAGAGGCCACGAGACAGCTGTTACCAGGCCTCACTTCCATCTCTTCCTTTCCCATCTCTCACCTTCACCACTGCCACAGTCTGGCTGGGCACAAATCACGAGCCACTGAAGCAGGAACAAACTTTATTTTTGAACTGCAGGAAAACACTTCACACAGCTCCCGGGGAATCCTCCCGAACGCCAGGCGGCTTGTCCAGGAACCCCCAGCCAGAAATATCTCTCCCGGAAATCCCTCCTCCTGCACTTCCCCAACCAATGGGAACTCTCGGGGAATCCCCGGAAATCCCCACGAGAACTCCAAAATAGTGCGAGAACTCAAAAGTTGCGGCAGAGGCGGATAGTAATGCCTCGCCTGTCAATCAATACTGTTGGCAAAATGCCAGGGGCCATACAGACTCGGCCGTGGCTCTCAGCATCTCCCCCTTTTTGTTTAATTAAACAACAAGCAATGTGGCTTAGGGACCGTGCCTGTTAGGCAGTCCAATTCAACATATGGTCCTTACCCGTCATCAGATGAACTGACCTCTAGGCGTCAGCCTCCTGTCTTAGGTTGGTACCACTGCAATTGGATCATACCCGTCACTGACTACCGGTCCAGCATACAGCCATACTTGTGGATAGGCCTTTGCACCAGTGGGGGGGTGAGGTTCTTTGCCTCACCTCTGTTGGCCCCCAAATTTGGCCTTGGTGCCAGTGGGGGGGTGAGGTTCTTTGCCTCACCTCTGTTGGCCCCCAAATTTTAGACCATCACTAGTAGAAGGGAGGAGGATGCAAAATGCCATGACACTAAGCCAATTGAGGGCTCCTTTGAAAAATTGTACCACCGGTGACACCATCAGCAAAAATACTCCAGCGCTACCACAATTCGCTGCACCAACAGATAGTTCACAATGCATACAAGTGATACATAGTCCAGGCAAGTTCTGCAAGCAGTTCAAAGCAGAGGAATCTGTCAATATGTCCATTTCCTCCCAAAGTAAATCGACTCCTTGATTGAGCATTACTTGTTGAGTTATTATTCATTGATGCATCAGTTTATACAGTTTGTTGTGATAACTATCGAAGAAGCTGTAGTTTGGTTTTATGTTTGTCTTCACCAGCACTGGGATGAAGATAGGAATTCTGGCAATGATGCTAAGAAAAAAATTATGTAACATTCCAACAGGCACTAAGAAAACAACTTTTTGAACAATTTACATTATCCTGAACAGAATTATTAAATATAATGAGAAGGAAAGGTGAAAGTAAACAAACAGATCTGTTAACCTCCTTATTTGTTCACATATTAAAACAATTTTCAACAGCTGTTTACCCAATCTAAATTAAACCATTAAAATCACGTGAATAAAAAAATTCGGATCCATTTATTCATGAGCGCTCCTCATATATGATATATGGACATACGCACATACAGACATACAACACAAAACAGAAGTGTGCACACATAACATACAACACATAAGACAATAGTAAAGGCCTTGTAGCTTTACCTAGGTGAAATCTCCATTGCAATGCTTAAAAACTCCACAGTCAAAAAATAAAACTGATCAGAAAAACATTAACCTAGGTCTGTATGAGCTCAAAAATAAAATAGAACTTTATGATGTGGGAAAAGGCAAATAATAAAATAAATATTGAAAAAAGCATCCTGGTTAATCACTGTCGCAGATGTAAGAATAGCCAAACTGGAGTTCTGGATATCAGCTGTTATGAATTTGAGTCAAATCATCTTCCTTTTGGTCTGTAGAAATTGTTTTAGTTAATCTCTCTGGAATCCAAATTGGCTGCTGTTCTCCCTGTGGAAAAACACAAACAGAACCCCGACTCCAGACAATCACTGGGTCAGGACCTTTCCATTGTCCTGTTAGAATATCCTTCCAAAGTACCTTAGGCTTATGTACATTTTTTGGACACATATACCTTTCCGCAGCACTAAGCCCTGATGAATCCAAATTTAAAAAGTTTAGAGTAAAAAGGGTTATTTTAAGTTTATCTTTGGGTGATATATACCCCTTTCCAATTCCCTCTTTTTGCTTTAGTAAGTACATTTTAATAGTTTGATGAGCTCTTTCAACTATGCCTTGTCCCTGAGGATTGTATGGGATTCCTGTTATATGAGTAATGCCAAATGATGAGCAAAATTGTTTAAAAGAGGTAGAAGTATAACCAGGACCATTATCTGTTTTTAACTGTTTTGGAACACCCACAGTGGCAAAATTTTGTAAGCAATGAGCTATGACATCTTTAGTTTTTTCTCCAGAATGAAGGGAGCCCATCAAAAATCCAGAAGAAGTATCAACTGTAACATGCAAATATTTTAATTTTCCAAATTCTGGCAAGTGTGTGACATCCATCTGCCAAATATGGTTAGGTATCAGTCCTTTAGGATTGACTCCAAGATTAACTTGTGGTAAAAAGGTCACACAATTTTGACATTGTTTTATTATTTGTCTAGCTTGTTCCTTAGTTATTTTAAAATGCTTTTGTAAAGTATTAGCATTGACATGGAACCTTTTATGAAAATGTGTAGCTTCTTCTAGTGTAGAGAAAATATGTATGTCATGTGTAGTTTTATCTGCTAAATCGTTGCCCAAACTAAGGGCTCCAGGCAATCCTGTATGTGCTCTGATATGTCCTATAAAGAATGGATCTTTTCTGTCCCAGATTAGACTTTGTATAGCAGAAAACAAAGAGAAAACAGTAGAGGAAGGGGAAATCCTGCCAGCATCTTCAAGGGATACTATAGCATTAACTATATACTGACTATCAGAAAATAAATTAAATACAGAATCTTTAAACATCACAAAAGCTTGTAAAACTGCATTAAGCTCTACCTTTTGAGCTGATTGTTTGGGTACTAAAAATGTAAAAGTTTGATCAGGGGTAACTACTGCTGCTGTACCATTATTTGACCCATCAGTGAATACATTTGGAGCATTCATGATAGGGGTTTTTCTTGTCATTTTTGGAAAAACTACAGGATGCGAAGACCAAAAAGACAACAAAGGATTAGATGGTAAGTGGTTATCAAATGAAACATTAGATTTACACATGATTATTGCCCAAGTATTTAACTCATTAGCTAACTCATCAATTTGATCCATAGTATATGGAGTAATAATTTTACTGGGAGAAATTCCAAACACTCCCTTTGCTGCTTTTATTCCTTTGAGTATTAATTGTCCTACAGCTTCAGGATACCTAGTAAGAATAGTGTTAGGAGAATAAAATAAATGTATCCACAATAATGGACCTTCTTGCCAAAATACTCCTGTAGGAATATTTTTTGTTGGTAGTACAATAAATAATAAAGGCAAACTTATATCAATTCTATCCAAATGCATATTTTCCATATATGTTTCAATAATTTTTAATGCCTTTCTTGCTTCAGGCGTTAACATACGGGGTGAATTTGGATCTGATGGACCTTTTAGGATATCAAATAA